GATATCTACGATTTCGAGTTTTCATTAGTCGGCAAAATCTGGGACGGTCGGGAAACAGTAAAATCCCAGAACGTCTGGGATTTTTCCGACATATGAAAACCAGGCTTAAGACTGGTGGATATCGTTGTCGCAACGGTCGCTGAATTATACCACCACTCTCCGGAAATTGCGGTCATTGTTGATGAATATATATTGCTGCGTTGATTGATCCTGTTCATTTTGGACATTTTTTTTTATTCCGTAACGGCTGTAACAGTTGTCAAGATTATATGGAAACAGGTCAGCGAGCGAGTCAGTTGGCACAAATTTTGCTATAGCAGTTGTAGAGATCCTAAATGTCGTTGCTTCTCGTCGAATCTGCCTCGCGCTCTTCGCTCTTCGCGTCGCAGAACTCGGCTTTCGCAGCTCGACTTCTGGGCAAGTCTGTAGCATACCGCAACAATTATTGTTTGTTTGGCCGTTTCGAGAACCTGGAACGGGTCAGAAGGATATATTATAGAGACCCATTGAGTTCTTTTAATCTGTTTATGCTGTGAGCGTCAGACTATGGAACGTAGCTAATCAAAATACCCCCGGCTTAGCCGCTTCTAATCTCGACTCGGGTTGTTTTGCTCCGTGAACGGTTCATTTTACCTACATAGAAACATCTTTCAATTTAGCACATAGAAATCACGAGACATTTCTTTTTCTCCCGCCAGCCCCCTTTTAAAGTTTACACATTGTGATGAGGGAGAAAGCGACGCTTTCAGCTCTACCAGCTAATTGCCACACAGGGTGTGCCGTGAAACGAAGTTTGAGCTTTTTCGTTCGCTGCATGGGATTTATTGAGCACACTTCACACTCAACGCTTCCAATTAATCGTTATGTTGAACTGCGATTTTAATAACCATCGTCAATTTATAGATTGCTATTGTTCGGTTTGACTATTAGTTCGTCATTTGAAATTTGAACAAGCCCTTACTTTGCAGCATTGATCGCCACAGAAGCCTGACCGAACTTCGTAACAGCATCAAAGCAGAACACAGCCACTTCCTGATTACAAGTTTATCCTACCTAATACTTGTAATCTCTCGCCGGAGCGCTTTTGGAAGACTGCATGCTCTAATACAGCTTGGGATCAACCAATAAAACATTACACAAACTTACCTCCCGTTCTCCAACACGACGTTGCTGATGTAGATATGATTCATATCTTTTCTCTGGTGAGGTAATCTTCAGAAGCTGTTCTGCTGCCTCGTCCGCAAGTTTGTCTAAGCGACCTGCCAAACGTGTCATTTCGCAGTCAAGGTAGACCCCTTTACGATCAGCTACAATGAATGTTTTCTCGTGTGGATCATCATACTGTTGTTCTTCCAGTATCGTGCCTCGCTGCAATTCTTCCTTCCATAACTTTGTGGGAGCCTTGAAAACATGTGGCTCAAGGACATATCCCCTACTTTTCTCGAGAAGTATGAAGTATTTATCTCTCACCATGGATTCGTGATCAGCCATAGCTTGGGTTAGAAAACAACCCAGACACTGGCTAGAAAGAACGAAGCTGCTGAATAAGTGACCACACGTGACCTTAAAGCGTTCCATAACATCCGTCGACTTCCGTTATAATTTATAACACATGTTTAGTTGCTGTCAAAATTAGCTTTCGGCTCCATGATTTATTCGAGTCGAGTTGAGAACGTGACGATTAACTAGTTAACAATCTGCTAAGCGGATTTTCTTAGTATGACATTAAACTGTTAAGTGTAGTTCAGTGGCAGCTATAAGCCCTTAGTAAAGGCATGATTTCCCTAGAAAATGTTCCCTTGTGAAAATAGCTAGGGCTCTGTAGGGTTTCAGGCACCTAAGGAAATCAAGGCGTTGCATTTTTCCGGCTAGATGAGTCTCACGAGATATATGAATTTCTGATCGAGAGAAGTTTATGCTTTGGTCCCTCGTTTTGTAAATACTGCGGCAATTTGGCTTAACAAGAACACTCTGCCAAAAACGTTCATTAGCAAATCACGTACGACACGTATACTGTCCAAAACTCGACGTCCGCATTGCTGGGTTTATCTGAGGAAGCCGCGTTTAAAATTGCCAGGNCTTTCGGCTCCATGATTTATCCGAGTCGAGTTGAGAACGTGACGATTAACTAGTTAACAATCTGCTAAGCGGATTTTCTTAGTATGACATTAAACTGTTAAGAGTAGTTCAGTGGCAGCTATAAGCCCTGAGTAAAGGCATGATTTCCCTAGAAAATGTTCCCTTGTGAAAATAGCTAGGGCTCTGTAGGGTTTCAGGTACCTAAGGAAATCAAGGCGTTACATTTTTCCGGCTAGATGAGTCTCGCGAGAGATATGAATTTCTGATCGAGAGAAGTTTATGCTTTGCTCCCTCGTTTTGTAAATACTGCGGCAATTTGGCTTAATACACGTAATATTTTCTTTATCAACCGAATCTTAATTATTTTACACGAACACTCTGCCAAAAACGTTCATTAGCAAATCACGTACGACGCGTATACTGTCCAAAACTCCACGTCCGCATTGCTGGGTTTATCTGAGGAAGCCGCGTTTAAAATTACCAGGGTGACACGAAGACATTATACCTGGGGAAACACAAGGTTTTGCTGGGGAGTCATTTTTTCACGTACAATCGATTTTACCTCGGGAAAATTTACCAAGAAATTTGTATGCTTGAGTGACTAAGAACAACCATATCTACCGTAGATAACACCCTTGGTGGGCTCCAGGGTAGTCAAGTTTCCATTGATAAAAAACCGATAAGAAGTCGAGTTTTTGGACTGGTCAAAAACCCGCGCAATGCGTGATGGCCTAATTATCATTTTATAATTTCCTTCTTCGATGTAGCAAAGATTCTCTCTATCTGAAGAAACCTGGAATTCCACCATTTTATAGAAAAGTTTTAGTTAATACTCTTCAAATAAGAAACCTTTACAAATGCAATAATGGCCTCGATGTGATTCTCTTCAACAACAAGGATAGTCTCATCAATGAAAATAGTTTTTTTTTTCTTACAGAAGGGAAACTGAAAAACGAATCGTTTATATCCCAGACATTCTGGGCTATAATGGAAAGCCATTTACTTTCAAAGTATTCCAGAGCAAGTTCAAGATTAAAATTCAACTTCCTTGTTATGCATCCGATTACGAACACTACACGTGTACAACACAATGTTGTTGACATCCGTAAGTGGAATGACCGCTGCACACAATGACTGATACTAGCTACCTCTTGCCACTATACAACGAAATAGAGCTGTCAGTCGATGACAATAAAAAAGGAATGACCAAAGCTAAAAAAATGCAAAGCAATTTAAAACAACAGTGTCTCTTAGATCACAGTGATCAGTCTCTTTGGAATCTTCGGCAATCTTT